TTAAAACACCTGGGAAAAGTGCAAGTGGCAATACTGAAATATTCTGTGGGGGAAATACCAAATAATGCAGGAAGCATTAAAAGAAGATCGCAAGAATACACAGACTTTCCGTACCAGAGAGAACCGATCGACATTCAACCATTTCAGAAAGGAGGATTTGATGAAGAACACTGCTGCTGAAGGAAGAAGTGATCCAAGATGCCCTAAAGGCGCTGTTGGAAAACAAGACTCCAAGAACTGACAGGTTGCTAGTTGAGATGTTTCAACAAACGGATGCAAAACTGGAAGCGCTCACTCATCTATGCCAAGAAATTTGCAAGACAGCTACACAGCCAACTGGCTTGAAGAGATCCATATTTTCACCCATTCCAAAGAATATGATGATTATCACATAATATCACATGCAAGTAATGCTGTGCTGAAGATAACTCAACATGGTTGCAGCAGTACATGGATAGGGAAATTCCAGAAATTCAAGCCCGATTCAGAAGGGGATATAGAATAAGAAATATCATTGCTGACATCAAAGAGATTTTGATTAAAAGCAAGAAACAAAAGAAAGATATTTGCCTGTGTTTTATTTACTATGCAAATACACTCAACTTTGTGGATGGTAAAAATTGTTAACTTTGCAAAGAATGAGAATTCCAGAACCCTTTGTTAGGCGCCTGGAGAGCATGAATACAGACCAAGAGTCAGTGGTTAAAACAGGACAAGTAGATACTGCCTGGTTTCACATCAGGAAAGGTGTGTGTTGGGGTACACTGGTTAAATCTGAGGAAATAAATTTGAGAAGCTAAACCACAATCTATAGACACAGGGGACTTCAACAGGTCACTGAAAATGGAATTACTTGATAGTGGAATTTTCCCACAAACTCTTTGACGCCCCCTCCTATATAAACTCGTATATGAAGAACTCCTCAGTGTTATGGATGGAGGAAGATTCATTAACAATCTGTGACATGCAGATGACGCACCTCGCCTGGTGAAGGTGAAGAGGACTTGAAACCTTGAACTCACAAAGGCCTTAGCCTATAGTTTTCAGTGTGAATTATGTCGCAATATAAATAAAACAAGAACGTTTACAACTGGACCAATAAGGAACATCATGATGGGTGAAGTGAAGACTAAAGTTGCTAAAGATTTCATTTTACTTGGATCCACAATCCACACTCATGGAGGCAGCAGTCAAGAGTTCAAACACACTATTGCGTTGGGAAAATCTGCCCTAAGGGACGTTTTAAGTGTCAAAAAAGAAGAAAGCAAGGATGTCTGTCACTTTGTGGACTAAGGCCGGTCTGATCCAAGGCATGAGCTTTTCAATCACTTCATATCCTTGCAAAAAACTGGACAAGCAGAAGGAAGACCCAGGAATACCTGATGCCTTTGAATGATGATGTTGGAGAGGGAAATTGCCTGCACCATGGACAGCCAGAAGAACACACCTATCTTGGAAGAAGTCAAACCAGGATACCCCTTAGAAGAGATGTTGAGACATCATCTCACATAATTCCAACATGGTACCAGAAGCAACCAGTCTCTGGAAGAAGACATCATGCTTGGTGAGCAGCGGGCCGGCAGAAAAGAGGAAAAGCCTCAATGAGATGGGTGGACGGGTGGACGCAGTGGCTGCAACAATGGGCTCACACCTAGCAGGTTTGAGGCTGGCGCAGGACCAGGTAGTGTTTCATTCTGTTGTGCACGGGATCACTGTGAGTTGGGACTGACCCAGTGGCACCGAGCCAGAACAGCCTCGGTCAGCATCAACCAGACGGCACCTAACAGCGACAGGAGCAATCCATTTCCCTAAAACTTTCCCACACACCCCAACAGGACCACCTTAAAGTCATTGTTCTCACTTTATCCCTTTCTCTTCTTTCCAGTGAGTCCACGAGACCTCTGCCAGGGGGAATCTCTTCATTCCCCTCACAGGACACAATCCTGGAATGTTAAAACTGTAAAGTCCGAAATTAGCTAGCTGATCTCTGACCTGGTAAGTGACTTAATTAGCATAACCCATTAGATCTGTGCCTAGGAGCTAGATGGATCTTTTTCCACCTGAGGAGATGAGAAATGTTATTTCAGGAGCATGTTAATATGCATTTCTTTTTTGTTGTGATTGGGTTTGAGTACTTTGTCATATTTCAAGCATTATGTATATCTACTTTTTTTGAATTATATCTATAGCATTTCCTAGTATCTCTACTAGATAATTAATCTCGTTCATTTATGGAAGCTCTTTGCATAGGAGGAAACTGGATCTTTGTTTGCATACATAAGTTGTAAGTTTTTCATTTCTTAATGCGTGTTTTTTGGTCCTCTTCATTTTCCTAGTGTCTAGAGATTATTCATTTGTTACAGTAGTCAACACACACACAAGACTTGTGGCTAGAAATGTTCTACTCTTCTCCTACGAGACCAATTCACACTCATATCAATGTTCATATCAGTGCTCATAACTGGCTATCACAGTTTAAAAAACACAATTTTTCTGTTGATATATGTAATGCGTGCCCAAAGCACAGACAGGAAAATGATACTATGAAAAAGGAAATTGAAATAACTCATAAACCCTCCATCTAGATGCAATTACACTTAACATTCTGATGCGCATTGCCCATTTTTTCTACCCTGAATATGAATATATAGCTATATGATCTTTAAACAAAATGGACACAACACCTCATGGTTCCCTAACTTGCCTCTCACTTCACGTGATGCTGTCCGCATCTGGACACCCGTGCTCCATCGTATGGTGTTACCAGTACAGGTGTGGCAAATGGTCACTTTGTAAAGGAGAAACATTGCTGGCTCAGGTACACGGGAGTAAAAAGACAGTCCAGCATAGGGCCTCTCTGAAAGGCATCCCTGTGTGCCCTGGCTGACTGTACAAACTGAAAATAGCAATGGAGGCTCTTTAGGAAAACCGGGACTTAGAAAGCAAGAAGGTTTGGCCTCTCCTGGAAATCTGACTCTGGAATACAGCATGCAAGCAAAGCGAGGCCAGCCCGGGGGAGTGGACTGGGCTGTTTGCCTGGAAGAGGAGAAAAACGGATTTGTGATAATTTCCACAAGAAGGAGGCCAGAAAGCATTACTAACCAGGATGTCAGAGGGCTCCTGGGAATACAGTCTGATATAAAATCAAGGAAGAGCAACCTGAGAAGCCAGACAGAAAGGACTTTCTTTTCATGTCTGGGTGAACCCATGGAAGAGGGAGGCTACCACTGAGGCAAAAGGAAGAAAGAAGGGATGTAGAAATTGAAGAGGAGACCACAAACGTCTCACCACTAGGTAAGAATTATGAACTCCACGAACAATGAGAACTTACACATGCTTAGCCCAAGATATCCTCATGCTGGAGAAAGGTGTCCTTGAACACCAGAAGGCTGCTGAAGAGCAGCAGCAGGTGTAGCTGATAGAAAGGGAAAGACCGACGCTCGCCCTGGTGGGTAACCCTGACCTGTTCTTTTCCAATATAAAGTCACTCCATTTGGCTTCATTAGAAGCAGAGATTATAGTACTATAAGGACAGCCTGTGTTAGTAACATAGCTAACAGTGTGATTAGCGGTATACCACTCTTAGTTTTAGTGTGGCGCATGCACTTTTAGTTCTTTTTTTATATGTCCTATACTGCATTTTACCCTTTCAACTTTGCTTCTTTAGAACGATAGCATTCCTTTTCTATTACTTGGTAACCTCGACAGTATACTTACTTACCTACAGAATATACAATTCATCTATAGAATAAGGGAGACAAAAATCCCATGAGTATTTGTGAAGTAATAATTTGTCTTAATCCGAAAATGTACCCCATCTTCAGAATATAAAAATTGTTCCTTGCAAATCCAAATGACTCAATCCACAGAAAGATGCCATGAATATTCAGGGAAAATATTTAGGGTTAGAACAGAACAGAACCAATGTGATGCACGAGCCAGAGAATGAGACTGGGTGCCAGGGCACCTAGTTCTGCAGCAGGTGTGGCACACAAACTGGCTGTAGGGCTTTAGGAGAGTGATTAGCCCTCTTAAAGCCATCGCTTCCTTACCTCTAAATTGCCTTGCCTCTGATGTGATTTTGTTTGCTATTCAGACACTTCTCAATAATTTCAACTACATTGTAGCTATGATCTGAAACTTAATCATTTTGTACTTACGTCCTGCAACTCTTGAATTCCCATTGACACACAACATTGTTGCTGCTAAGTATCAAGTTGGTTCCCAACTCATGGTGGCCCCGTGCACAACAAAATCTAACCACTGTGATCGATGTGATTTTCATTGGCTGACTATTCAAAGCACATCATCAATAGGTCTTCCTTGCGAGGCCATGTCTGAAAATTTAGCTGAAATCCATTTATCATCACGACAACCCACGTCTCCAATGACAGACAAGTGTTGACCAGGACACGTCTCGCACGCTGGAGGTGAGAACAGTACCACTAAATCGCCAGTGCCCTCAGCCATGCGTCAGGTGCTCCTACTATGCAGCAAAGGCGCTCTGACAAGGCAGTGGCTGAGGGGCTCGGCTGCCAACTGAAAGTTTGGCAATGCCACGCCACATGTTCCTGCAAAAACCTAGGGGGTGGTTGTCCTCTGTCCTGTAGTGCCACTGTGTGTTGGAACTGACGCCATAGCAACACATCTGTGAGCCATGTAGCACACACATGAAGCCAAGAGAAGTTCCTCGAGTTCAGTAGCTCAGAGAGAAACCTGTTAAGAGTTATCTAAGTACTTGACCAGGGTTATTCTGTAATTAGATCAGTGTTGCACCTCACTTGCTATGAACTCATAGCCCGTTATTTATTGCTGTGGCTTGATCCAATTGCCAAAGCACCGTCGGATTGAACACAAAGGCTTTTGAGACTGCTGCAGAGCACACGTCTCTGCTGTACAGAGAAGAAGCTACACTATCTGCTCCATTTCACAGAGCAGTTTACTCCTGATAACGGAACCATCGAGAGTTCACTAAGACAGCAGGGCTAAGACTACAGTACCTTCACAGCTGGTTTATTAATTGCATTGTGGCATTCGATGTGCTGGCAGTGGATGGGATTCCAAGCTGTAAAGAGAGCAGAGATGATAAATACTTCTTTTTAAATTACCCACGCCTGACTCAAAAACAGGAGATTCTTTACTCTTCCCCGCCCCCGCCCTCCTCCACCCCCACCCTCCGCCTCTACAAGAGGCTTCCCGGCAAATTACAAGATTTTAAAAATCTATGCACAATTCAAAAATGGGATAAATATATCACAACAACACCTGTGTCCCTCGGGGAGAGGCAAGTTGAAATAAGGTATTATACAGAGTATCATAACACAACATCACAATGGTGTAGCACTTATAAATTCCTAACGGCTCTCATTCTCTGGTTCCGCATGAGTCTTCCAGCCACTCGGTTGAGTGGGTTCATCTCACAGAAGAGGCGTCAAAGTTAAGAAGGTTAATTCCCTTGCTATGCTCAGAGAGTTAGTGAACTAACTAACTAGGCTAGGGAGCTGGACCCTATAGTTCTTGCTGCTCAATACTCTCTTCTTCTCAGAGCATCACACGATGCTATGCGTTCTAGATCTTGGCACTAGGAAAAACTGCAAAGTTATAATAACTAAAATGAATGGTAGAGCATTCTCCGCCATTCTGCTTTCCCACTCCATCCTTTTAAATATGGAGATTAGAAGGCTAAGTTACTTGCCAAATTGAAATGCTTCTCTCTCATTTCTGGCCCATACACTCAACTTCTGCCAGTTGGCAGACTCCTTAGCTCAGAATGCATACAAAAGGAGGGCAAGAGGCAAACGACATGGGATCAATGAGAATCACAACCAGCATTCATCATCAACCAAATCAGGAGGTAGCCCAAAGCTAGGTACTAACAACATTCCATCCTAAATGCTTGAAAGTGGGGATTTTCTAAATTGTTATAAACTAACGAATCTTATAGGAAGAGCATGAGTGATGTTGTGGATAATATGTTCGGCTACTAAGCAAAAACTCAGCAGTTAGAAATCAGCAGCAGTTCTGCCAGGGAAAGAGGAGGCTTTCTTTTTCAGAGTTTTATGAGCACTTCACCCACAGGTCATACAATTCAATCATATCAAGAAGAGTTGTATAATTATCACCACATTCAATTCCAGAACATGTTCTTCTTCCTTGTACTCCTTGTGATGCGAGTAATTATTTTATTTTATTTTTTAATTGGGAGTTAATACATATATCATATCATTCCATTGTTCAATCACATCAAGCAGTATTGTACAATTGCTACTGCAATCGGTTTCCACACATTCTTTTCCTTCCTGGAGTCCTTAACATCGTCTCCCTTTTAGGCCCCCCCACCACCACCACCACCACTATACTCCCCATCCCACCCCCACCCCCACAGAAACCCTTATTCTACTTGCTGTCCATACAGGTTCATCAAACCTGGGCTTCACATACTGAAAAACATATGACACAAACTCAAGAGGGTGGCCCCAGTGACATAACACATCTGAGATAAGCCCCCAAATGAACAGCAACAACAAATATATATATAGAAATATAGAATAATAATATAGAATATGTATATAGATATATGTGTGTGTTATATATATTGAAAACCAGACCAGGTCCAGTGTGCATCAGAGTGGGGAACAACTGACAAGTCTAACTGTTCGAGTCAGGTTTATCCCTTTGGTCTTCCATACTTGTCTGCCAATGCGCTCGGTCTAGTAACCACTTTCCTCCCATCACTCGATTGTGGGTGAGGAAGATCACCCGAGGCTCATTTCCTATGTGGATCCACAAACATACCTTGGGCTCCCACTGTCACCCATAGCCTTCTGCAAACCAGATTGGCACAATTTAGACTCTGACACTATCACTTCAGACTTCGAATGGAAGGATTTACAATTCTTCGGTGGCTGATGGTAGTTTGCTTCTTCCACGTGGACTCAGTTGACGTGGCACTTAGACGGCTGCTTGTTTGGAGACAAGCCTTTAAGACCCCAGATGCTATTTTACCTGATAGCTGTTATCCCATAAAGATTGACAGTCTCAGAAACCCAGAAGGGCAGTTATACCCTGTCTGATACAGTTGCTGTGAATCAGAATGGACTCGATGCCAGCGAGGGAATCTTACAGGACCATGTTTACCTGACAGGGAACAAATAACTGAGTAGACAAAGGGTGACGTCATGCAAGCTCAGGCAAACCAGTACTATAAGATTCATTTCTTATACGGGGAAAATTCAAGATTTGCTTTTGTTGTTTTGTTTCACTCTGCCTTGTTTTTGTGCTTATTATTGTCTCTGTATGTCTATCTGGATAAGATAGGCAGGATAAACAATCCAGAGGAGAAAACAATGGGACAGACTGTGGGATATAAAAAGACATCTCCCAAGTTGTCTCCCCCAAAGATAGACCAAACATCAGAGGCTGGTTGCCAGCACATGGTGGGAGGTCAGCTGCTTAGAGATATTCTCCCTGAAGGCATTTCATTGCCAGACTACAGTCTGGTCCCACCACAGGTAGGGCCCACTCCCTGCTGTTAAGGACAATGGGCTACTTCTCCCTAAAGGCTTGGGGCCATCAGTCTGGTCCACTGTAGGTGGGGTTCACACCCTACTGATAATGGTTTCCATGGAGAGCCAGAGAACAGATCAAACCTGCTAGGTGACATCCAAAGTTAGGCTGCCATCCTGAATCTAGGATCCACCCATCTTGTCACATGTGTGTCCCTAATCCCTCCCCTTTCTCTTGGGTCTATACCCCTAAATCGTCCCCCTCTCATTACTGCGTTACCTATAGTGCAACCCCTTCCTGTGACATATGTCTTTACCTGTAATTAGGGGGCTTGCACACCCCCCAAAGATATATAAACTTTGGTTAGCAATAAAGCAGCTCTCTCCTCTCCCCCATCCTATCTCCTCCCCTGGTGCTCTCTCTCCCAGTCCTGGTTCCCCTGTCCCCTCTCCCCTTGTCCTCCTTCCCCTCCCTCTCCTGCCCTCTTATCTCCCATCTCCACATGGACCACCGGAGCGGGGCTGAGGTAAGCATGCTACCATAAAATATGTCTGACTCCATTATTTCAACCTCTCTTTTATCTCTCCTTATTCTCTATGACTTTATTAGAATCTAAATATATATATTTTAAACCTTATAATTGCACCTATCGAACCTGTGATTAGTTGTGGGGGACTGGCCTTCCTCGACAACCCATGGTTGTGAGAGAACACAGGAGAGGGGGAGGCAGAGGAAAGGAAGTGGGTATCAACAAACCCAGGACAAGGGAACAACAAGAGATCTTAAATCGAAGGTGAGGAGGGTGTAGTATGCCTGGTAGGGCTTGATCCAGAGCAACGTAACTGAGAGGAATTACTGAAACCCGAATGAAGGCAGAAGAGGATAGTGGGACGAGAGGAAAGTAAAAGGAAATAGAGGAAAGAACTAGGAGGCAAAGGGCATTTATAGAGGTCTAAATACAGGAATGTATATATGTAAATATATTTTTATATAATGATAGGGAAATAGATCTATGTACATATATTTATAGGTTTAATATTAAGGTAGCAGATGGAGACTGGGCCTCTACTCAAGTCCTCCCTCAATGCAAGAATATTTTGTTCTAATAATCTGGCATTCTGTGATGCTCACCTTCCCTGACATGATCACTGAAGACAAAAGCAGGTGCATAGCAAATGTGGTGAAGAAAGCTGATAGTGCACAGCTATCAAAAGATACAGCATCTGGGGTCTTAAAGGCTTGAAGATAAACAAATGGCCATCTAGCTGAGAAGCAACAAAGCCCACCTTGAAGAAGCACACCAGCCTGTGTGATCATGAGGTGTCGATAGGATCAAGTATCAGGCATCAAAGCCCCAGAACAAACAATCATATCAATGTGAATAAGGGGAAGCGAAGAGTGGAGACCCAAAGCCCTTCTGTAGATCATTGGACATCCCCTTACAGAAGGGTCACAAGGAAGAGACGAGCCAGTCAGGGTGCAGTATAGCACCACTGAAACATACAACTTTCCTCTAGTTCTTTAATGCTTCTCCTCCCTCACCACCACCACCCCCACTATCATGACCCCAATTCTACCTTACAAATCTGGCTAGACCAGAGCATGTACACGGGTACAGATAAGAGCTGGAAACACAGGGAATCCAAGACAGATAAACCCCTCAGGACCTATGTTGACAATGATACTAAAAGGGTAAGGGAAGGGGGGAGGGGCAGAAAAAGGGAATCAATCACAATGATCTACATATAGCCCCCTCCCAGGGGGATGGACAACAGAAAAGTGGGTGAAGGGGGACATCAGTCAGCGTAAGACATGAAAAAATAATAATGACTTATAAATTATCAAGAGTTCATGAGGAAGGGAAGGGAGGCGAGAGAGGGGGAGAAATGAGCTGATACCAAGGACTCAAGTAGAAAGAAAATGTTTTGAAAATGATGATGGCAACAAATGTAAAAATGTGCTTGACACAATGGATGGATGACGGATTGTGATAAGAGTTGTACAAGCCCCAAATAAAATGATTAAAAAGAAAGAAAGTGCAGAGTAACAAGTTTTCTTGAACAAGTAGGAAAATTTAGAGAAAACTGTTGCCTTTAACTGGTACATGAGTTACAAATACATGTCACATATAGCCTGTCCTTCTATCCCAAACTCATGACAGACATTACTAATCTAGTATAGCATTATTTCTTGTTGAGGCCAGAAATGGTGGTAAAATCTGTCTAAACACTGAGTTACTATCAGAAACAAACAAAGAAAACCCACTGCCATCAAGTCCAGTCCAAATCATGTTGATGTTAGGTGCCATCAAGTTGATTCCGACACATGACGAGCTTATGCACAATAGAACGAAACACTGCATGCGTGGTCCTGTGCCATCCTCGCAATGGTTCTTATGTTTGGACCCATTGTTGCAGCCACAGTGTCAATCTGTCTCCTTGAGGGTCTTCATCTTTTTTGATGCCCCTCTCTACTTTAACAAACATGATGTCCTTATCCAGAGACTGGTCTCCCCTGACAACATTTCCAAAGTATATAAGACGAAGTCTTGTCATCCTT